ATGGTGAATGTCCTTATAATGCTCTGTTTAAATGTGGTGAATGTCATTACAACGTTCTGTTTAAATATGTTGAAAGTCATTATAATATTCTGTTTCAATATAGTGAATGTCATAAAATTATTCTGTTTCAATATGGTGAATGTCATTATTATGTTCTGTTTAAATATAGTGAATGTCATTATTATGTTCTGTTTCAATATGGTGAATGTCCTTATAATGCTCTGTTTAAATGTAGTGAATGTTATCAGGGTGTTCCTTACTCAGATGTGATGACGACAGTTATTATCCTGCCCGCTGCCATAGTGCGACTGGTATTCCAACCTTTAGTACTCAAATCAAAGCTTCTTATGATGCCCTTCCAGATAAAGACAATTAGCTTAATTAGCCGCATTCGTTACATCTGTATTCACTAGAAAATATTAAGCCTAAAGTTTTTCAAAATTTATTTCAAACACACTTTTATTTGTTAGGAAGGAAAGGTGAAAAGTCTTACCTGCCCGAGCTATGCCGGATACGTGTACCCTTATTGTAAAGATCTACATAACCTTATACACTACGCTGAACGTCTTGTCACGTGATCGGCAAATAGTGCTTGAAGAGACAAGTTTGGCAAACAACGTTTTCTGGTTCATAATGGGGGTTACCTGTCGTGGTTACAGAGCTGCCGGAAACTATCCATGAGCAGCACTTCACGGTCCCCACAGAAACGGACCTTCCCCTAGGCATTAGCCATTGACCACGTGCGTCCCCCCGCCACACCCTTACTAGATACGACATAGTTTGGAATGAGTGTCACATGTACAGTTCCTAAAAACCACCAGAACTTGACAGCAAGTGCATTTTATACATGCAATATACATGGGAACGTGACGTAGTTGATCCTATAGTGCAATCATAGCATCGTGTTCGAGGCAGACAATTCCATTATCTAATCCTTAAAATACAAAAACAAACAAACAGCCTTCCTCTTGTAGAGCTAATCCTGTCCCCAGGCAGCTAGCACCCCTCCCAGTCCGCCATGTAGGGGCTTCGTGTTAATGTGTGTTGACTTAATATCGTTTTTCCCACTCTCTAATCTGTCCGTATTTGTAATAACCTCATTCCACGTCCAAATGGCTTCATGTACTGGGTTTTTAGTATTTACACATATTCTTTAAGATAATACCCAAGGCCGTATCAATAACAGGTAATGTGTGATGGTGAGGCAGGCCAGGTGTAAACGTTTGGCCAAACAGGCCTGGGTTCGAATCCCCAACGCTCAGTACACGATACTGTTAAAAAAGTCATGTATATAAAGACTGCTTGGAGTAATACCTAAACAGGTGGCTTCACTGAACACCAAGCACATATGTAACAAGGCCTCCTTGTACGGATGCGGCACACTAGAGCTGTTGTGTATAGATGTTGCTATAACCCTTTGTATGACTTCAGGGGCGGTCGGGTAGCCTAGTGGTTAAAGCGTTCGCTCTTCACGCCGAAGACTAGGGTTCGATTCCCGACATGGGTACAATGTGTGAAGCCCATTTCTGGTGTCCCCCGCCGTGATATTACTGGAATATTGCTAAAAGCGGCGTAAAACTATATTCACCCAATTGTATGACTTCACCAGGGGCTGTGTACAAATTGTATGACTTCACCAGGGGCTGTGTACAAATTGTATGACTTCACCAGAAACTGTGTACAAACTACAGGCGCCCGTGATACACAGACGCAGTGACTGAGTTAGTGTAGCCATTGTCGAGAGGTTCTGTCTTACAGGGTCAAAGTAATACCAAGGGGTACAAGCCAATGTCTGTTGATTTACAATACCTCTCGTCTACAAACAAGTCGATCCCAGAAGTCAGGTTCCTTATTGAATCGTGTGTCACAATAATATATATTTTTAAAGTGAACTTTACACAACGTACGGCTTGTCCATTGATTGCCATTTTGCGATACTGAGATTCACTCGGTTCGTAATCTCTATGTACATAATGAAACTGGCGTTATGTGACAAACAAGCGGTATGTGAATGTTTGAGTGACTTCCAACCAGCAATGTCTACAAAGTGGATTCTAATTCCCCTGGATCATAAAGACCCTATTGGTCTGATGACCGCCTCCGTGGTCTAGTGGTAGAGCGTCCGCCCGGAGAGTGGAAGGTCCGGGGTTCGATCCCCGGCCGAGTCATACCAAAAGACGTTAAAGGATGGTACTTGTTGTTACCCTGTCTGGCGGTAAATAAGGACTGGTCGGCTCGGAGTCAGTATACTGTGAAAAAATCGGCATCAGTCCGGACTAGTACAAGCAGCCACACACACACACACACACACACACACACACGTACATGCACGTCGCTATATAAGTGCAATACCCTTGGACGCGACGTTAAACCCCATTTCACCTCACCTCACTTATTGGTCTGATCCAGGGTTGCTCCCGTAGTGTTGCATAACACACGTGCGGATTATACACGCTGATAAACTGTACAGATATCATTTTTAACAATTTTTATAATTATTTGTTTACAGTCAATAAATCATTAAAAAACTTAAGGAATATGTCAACACGTATGTTTGACGCCTGAACACAAACCCGGAGACACAGTTGAGTAAAGTGATGAGGAGTTTCGGTAGAATCCATAACAGTTGGTCGATGAATATTTATATATACAGCGACTGCATCTTGAAACACTTGACATCTACGATGAATGACATGATGCTGTGCGTGTGGGGTTGACCAGGGGGTCGATGCTGAGACTGACACTCAGTGTTAATACGTTGTGTCCCTGAAACCCGCCCCAGATCAAATCTCCTCACAAACACATGCACCCCAATGAAACAAGGTTTTGTTTCAAATCGATCATTGAGAAACTTGAGGGTGGAGTTTTGTCACGGGAACGGCATAGTAAGTATGAGTGTAGGGCACCATTGAAGGGCTAGCAGCAGGGGCGTGCCAATCACGACGTTTAACGACGTCCCCGTGGACCCCTCAGGAATCCCCACGTTTTGACATTGACTTCCCCTTGAGGAAATAGATTTTTTGCATTGGAAAAATATGCTTTCAATACGTGCTGTCAATGCACTGTCCTTCACGATATGCTGCTGTAAACATACATCTACAAAATGTTTGTCTAAACATACATCTACAAACTGTTTGTCTAAACATACACCCACAAACTGTTTGTCTAAACAAACATCCACAAACCATTATAAACATACATACACAAACAGTCATTATAAACATACATACAGAAACTGTTGATCGACGGATACATAACCAAACTGTTAGCCTAAACACACATACACAATCTGTTAGCCTAAACACATATACACAATCTGTTAGCCTAAACACACATACACAATCTGTTAGCCTAAACACACATACACAATTTGTTAGCCTAAACATACATACACAATCTTTTAGTCTAAACATACACACACAAACTGTTGGTTTCAACGTACACACTTAAAACTCTTCGCCTAAACACACATACACAATCTGTTAGCCTAAACACACATACACAATCTGTTAGCCTAAACACACATACACAATCTGTTAGTCTAAACACACATACACAAACTGTTAGCCTAAACACACATACACAAACTGTTAGCCTAAACACACATACACAATATGTTAGCCTAAACACACATACACAATCTGTTAGTCTAAACACACATACACAATCTGTTAGCCTAAACACACATACACAATCTGTTAGCCTAAACACACATACACAATCTGTTAGCCTAAACACACATACACAACCTGTTAGCCTAAACACACATACACAATCTGTAAGCCTAAACACACATACACAATCTGTTAGCCTAAACACACATACACAATCTGTTAGTCTAAACATACACACGCAAACTGTTGGTTTCAACGTACACACGTAAAACTATTTGCCTAAACACACATACACAATCTGTTAGTCTAAACACACATACACAATCTGTTAGCCTAAACACACATACACAATCTGTAAGCCTAAACACACATACACAATCTGTTAGCCTAAACACACATACACAATCTGTTAGTCTAAACATACACACGCAAACTGTTGGTTTCAACGTACACACTTAAAACTCTTCGCCTAAACACACATACACAATCTGTTAGTCTTAACGCACATACGCAATCTGTTAGCCTAAACACACATACACAATCTGTTAGTCTAAACACACATACACAATCTGTTAGCCTAAACACACATACACAATCTGTTAGCCTAAACACACATACACAATCTGTTAGCCTAAACATACAAACACAAACTGTTAGCCTAAACACACATACACAATCTGTTAGCCTAAACATACCCATACAAACTGTTAGCCTAAACAACCATACACAATCTGTTAGCCTAAACATACACACACAAAATGTTAGCCTAAACACTCATACACAATCTGTTAGCCTCAACATACACACACAAACTGTTAGCCTAAACACACATACACAAACTGTAAGCCTAAACACACATACACAATCTGTTAGTCCAAACATAAAAACACAAACTATTGGTTTCAACGTACACACGCAAACTGTAAGCCTAAACATTCATACCCAATATGTTAGCCTAAAGATACAAACACAAACTGTTGGTTTCAACATGCACACACAATCTGTAAGCCTAAACACACATACACAATCTGTTTGTCTAAACATACACACACAAACTGTTCGCCTAAACATACAAACAAAACACAAACTGTTTGTTTCAACGTACACACACAAACTGTACGCCTAAACGCACATGCTCAATCTGTTAGTCTAAACATACACACACAATCTGTTAGCCTAAACGTACGTGAACCAATACTCTCCACGTATAAACTCACGCTAGTACTCTCAAAATATGAACAAACAATCCTCAAAAGTGCAGATAATATGTGACGTACATGTTCGAACTATTTTGAAGGAACAAGATAGTTTCTGGTGGGCGTCCGTATATAGTCACACATAGTTTGATATATGGTTAATGTAGGATTGATTCAGAAACCAACCAACCTGAAACGCGTCTTGATGGTAGTCATCCGAACACAGGTCGCTGGTACTTGTGCTGATAGAGTGTTCAAACCGTCCACAGGAATCGCGGTTCTCGTGGGTACGTCATGCCGGCGAGGGCGGGGGTCTTACTTAATAACCCTCCTTGTGTATGAATGTTATCTACCCCGCTGGTGATAAATTATACCAGCAAAGTGTTATTACTTTTTAATCTTTTCATGTTCTGGTGGATAAAGCAGGCTTTGGGTACAGTGGGGATAGAAGCCTTGAGTTCAAGTGTAGCAGTAGGAGGGGTCTTGACGGGAGCTGCAGCCAGCTGGCACAGTCTACATGTTTCCATATGCCGATTATAAATGTGTGAGTGTGGGTGTGAGTGTGAGTGTGGGTGTGAGTGAGTGAGTGAGTGAGTGAGTGAGTGAGTGAATGAGTGTGTGTGTGTGTGTGTGTGTGTGGGGGGGGGGGGGGGGGGGTGTGTGGGGGGGTGTGTGAGCGTGAGCGTGTGTGTGGGGGTGTATCTGTGTGAGTGTGAGTGTGTGTATGTGTGCCAGTGTCTGAGTGAGTGTGACTGTATGTATGTATGTATGTATGTATGTATGTATGTATGTATGTATGTATGTATGTATGTATGTATGTATGTATGTATGTATGTATGTATGTATGTATGTATGTATGTGAGTGTCAGTGTGAGTGAGTGAGTGAGTATGGTTTTACGCCGCTTTTAGAAATATTCCAACAATATCACGGCGGGGGACACTAGAAATGGGCTTCCCACATTGTACCCATGTCGGGATTCGAACCCGGGTCTTCGGCGTGACGAGCGAACGCCTTAACCACTAGGCTACCCGACCACCCCGTCTGAGTGTGAGTGTGTGTGTGTGACTGTGAGTTTGGGTGTGTGAATGAGTGTGTGTGTCAGAAAAAGTGTATGTGTGTGTGACAGTGTGTGTGTAAGTGTGAGTGTGTGTGAGTAAGTGTGAGTGTGTGTCTGTGAGTGTATCTAAGTGTGTGTGTGTGCGTGTCTGTGTGAGTGTGTGTGTGCGAGGGAGTGTGTGTGTGCGTGTCTGTGTGAGTGTGTGTGAACGTGTGCATCTGAGATCGTGTGTATGTGAGTGTGCGTGCGAGTGAGAGAGTGTGAGTGTATGAGTGTATGGGAGCGAGTGACAGTGTGTGTGGGTATGTGTGTGTGTGAGTGTGCGTTTGAGTGACAGTGTGTGTGTATGTGTTTGTGTGAGTGTGAGAGAGAGAGAGAGAGAGAGAGAGAGTGTGTGTGTGTGTGTGTGAGAGAGAGGGAGAGAGTGTGTGTGTGTTTTTGTTTTTGTTTGTGTGTGTGTGTGAGAGAGAGAGTGTGTGTGTTTTTGTGTGTGTGCGTGTGTGTGAGACAGAGAGAGTGTGTGTGTGTGAGAGTATGTGTGAGTGTGTGAGAAAGAGAGAGAGTGTGTGTGTTTGTGTGTGTGTGTGTTTGTGAGTGTGAGTGTGCGTGTGAGAGAGAGCGAGAGAGAGAGAGAGAGAGAGAGAGAGAGAGAGAGAGAGAGAGAGAGAGTGAGAGAGAGAGAGTGTGTGTGTGTGTGTGTGTGTTTGATCTAATCATTTGTTTCTATAGTCTCTGTAAGGTTTCACAACCTTATTAGAGTGTCAGGTGTCTGCTATTAGTGGCTTATAGTTATAATTAAAAGATCAGCTGTATGTGATCGAGTGTCTATTGTCGGCTTTCTAATGTCTATAGTTTGGTACTGCTGTCTGTTTATAGTTGGGTGTATGTTGTCACTTGTTTAAAGTGGGACGTTTAAAGTGTACAGTTTACTCTTATTCATTGCTAAATGGTCTTTGTAGGGAGAGGTGTTTAAATAGGTTGAACCTGTTCACCAATCCCATTCCTTTTGTTTGGAAATAAATATTGTTTAAACCAAAGGGGCTTGTTTGTTCCAGGGTGTTTATAGTGGGACGTTTGTTGTCTGGTGTTTATAGTGGGATGTATCTACCAGGGTGTTTATAGTGGGACGTTTGTTGTCTGGTGTTTATAGTGGGGCGTTTGTTGTCTGGTGTTTATAGTGGGACGTTTGTTGTCTGGTGTTTATAGTGGGACGTTTGTAGTCAGGTGTTTATAGTGGAACGTATCTACCAGGGTGTTTATAGTGGGACGTTTGTTGTCTGGTGTTTATAGTGCAACGTATCTAACAGGGTGTTTATAGTTGAACGTATCTAGCAGGGTGTTTATAGTGGAACGTATCTAGCAGGGTGTTTATAGTGGAACGTACATATATCTAGCAGGGTGTTTATAGTGGGACGTTTGTTGTCTGGTGTTTATAGTGGAACGTATCTAGCAGGGTGTTTATAGTGGGACGTATCTAGCAGGGTGTTTATAGTGGGACGTTTGTTGTCTGGTGTTTATAGTGGGACGTTTGTAGTCAGGTGTTTATAGTGGAACGTATCTACCAGGGTGTTTATAGTGGGACGTTTGTTGTCTGGTGTTTATAGTGCAACGTATCTAACAGGGTGTTTATAGTTGTACGTATCTAGCAGGGTGTTTATAGTGGAACGTATCTAGCAGGGTGTTTATAGTGGAACGTACATATATCTAGCAGGGTGTTTATAGAGGGACGTTTGTTGTCTGGTGTTTATAGTGGAACGTATCTGGCAGGGTGTTTATAGTGGGACGTATCTAGCAGGGTGTTTATAGTGGGACGTTAGTAGTCAGGTGTTTATAGTGGAACGTATCTAGCAGGGTGTTTATAGTGGAACGTACATATATCTAGCAGGGTGTTTATAGTGGGACGTTTGTTGTCTGGTGTTTATAGTGGAACGTATCTAGCAGGGTGTTTATAGTGGAACGTATCTAGGAGGGTGTTTATAGTGGGACGTATCTAGCAGGGTGTTTATAGTGGAACGTATCTAGGAGGGTGTTTATAGTGGGACGTATCTAGCAGGGTGTTTATAGTGGAACGTACATATATCTAGCAGGGTGTTTATAGTGGGACGTTAGTAGTCAGGTGTTTATAGTTGAACGTATCTAGCAGGGTGTTTATAGTGGAACGTACATATATCTAGCAGGGTGTTTATAGTGGGACGTTTGTAGTCAGGTGTTTATAGTGGAACGTATCTACCAGGGTGTTTATAGTGGGACGTTTGTTGTCTGGTGTTTATAGTGCAACGTATCTAACAGGGTGTTTATAGTTGTACGTATCTAGCAGGGTGTTTATAGTGGAACGTATCTAGCAGGGTGTTTATAGTGGAACGTATCTAGCAGGGTGTTTATAGTGGAACGTACATATATCTAGCAGGGTGTTTATAGAGGGACGTTTGTTGTCTGGTGTTTATAGTGGAACGTATCTAGCAGGGTGTTTATAGTGGGACGTTAGTAGTCAGGTGTTTATAGTGGAACGTATCTAGCAGGGTGTTTATAGTGGAACGTACATATATCTAGCAGGGTGTTTATAGTGGGACGTTTGTTGTCTGGTGTTTATAGTTGAACGTATCTAGCAGGGTGTTTATAGTGGAACGTATCTAGGAGGGTGTTTATAGTGGGACGTATCTAGCAGGGTGTTTATAGTGGAACGTATCTAGGAGGGTGTTTATAGTGGGACGTATCTAGCAGGGTGTTTATAGTGGAACGTACATATATCTAGCAGGGTCTTTATAGTGGGACGTTAGTAGTCAGGTGTTTATAGTTGAACGTATCTAGCAGGGTGTTTATAGTGGAACGTACATATATCTAGCAGGGTGTTTATAGTGGGACGTTTGTAGTCAGGTGTTTATAGTGGAACGTATCTACCAGGGTGTTTATAGTGGGACGTTTGTTGTCTGGTGTTTATAGTGCAACGTATCTAACAGGGTGTTTATAGTTGAACGTATCTAGCAGGGTGTTTATAGTGGAACGTATCTAGCAGGGTGTTTATAGTGGAACGTACATATATCTAGCAGGGTGTTTATAGTGGGACGTTTGTTGTCTGGTGATTATAGTGGAACGTATCTAGCAGGGTGTTTATAGTGGGACGTATCTAGCAGGGTGTTTATAGTGGGACGTTAGTAGTCAGGTGTTTATAGTGGAACGTATCTAGCAGGGTGTTTATAGTGGAACGTATCTAGCAGGGTGTTTATAGTGGGGCGTATCTGGCAGGGTGTTTATAGTGGAACGTATCTAGCAGGGTGTTTATAGTGGAACGTATCTAGCAGGGTGTTTATAGTGGACCGTTTCTAGCAGGGTGTTTATAGTGGGGCGTATCTAGCAGGGTGTTTATAGTGGAACGTATCTAGCAGGGTGTTTATAGTGGACCGTATCTAGCAGGGTGTTTATAGTGGGGCGTATCTAGCAGGGTGTTTATAGTGGACCGTATCTAGCAGGGTGTTTATAGTTGAACGTATCTAGCAGGGTGTTTATAGTGGAACGTATCTAGCAGGGTGTTTATAGTGGATCGCTTATCCATGTTGTCATATGTATGTAGTCTGGTGTCAAGAGCTAGCATGGGTGTATGATGGAACCAGGTGTCTGCTGTAGGATGTCTAGAGCTAGCATGGGTGTATGGTGGTACCAGGTGTCTGCTGTAGGATGTCTAGAGCTAGCATGGGTATATGATGGAACCAGGTGTCTGCTGTAGGCTTCTAGAGCTAGCATGGGTGTATGATGGAACCAGGTGTCTGCTGTAGGATGTCTAGAGCTAGCATGGGTGTATGATGGTACCAGGTGTCTGCTGTAGGATGTCTAGAGCTAGCATGGGTGTATGGTGGTACCATGTGTCTGCTGTAGGATGTCTAGAGCTAGCATGGGTGTATGATGGAACCAGGTGTCTGCTGTAGGGTGTCTAGAGCTAGCATGGGTGTATGATGGAACCAGGTGTCTGCTGTAGGGTGTCTAGAGCTAGCATGGGTGTATGATGATACCAGGTGTCTGCTGTAGGATGTCTAGAGCTAGCATGGGTGTATGATGGAACCAGGTGTCTGCTGTAGGATGTCTAGAGCTAGCATGGGTGTATGATGGAACCAGGTGTCTGCTGTAGGATGTCTAGAGCTAGCATGGGTGTATGAAGGAACCAGGTGTCTGTTGTAGGGTTCTAGAGCTAGGATTGGTGTATGATGGAACCAGGTGTCTGCTGTAGGATGTCTAGAGCTAGCATGGGTGTTGAAGGAACCAGGTGTCTGCTGTAGGGCGTCTAGAGCTAGCATGGGTGTATGATGGAACCAGGTGTCTGCTGTAGGGCGTCTAGAGCTAGCATGGGTGTATGATGGAACCAAGTATCTGCTGTAGGGCGGCAGAGCTAGCATGGGTGTATGATGGAACCATGTGTCTGCTGTAGGGCGTCTAGAGCTAGCATTGGTGTATGATGGAACCAAGTGTCTGCTGTAGGGTGTCTAGAGCTAACATTGGTGTATGATGGTACCAGGTGTCTGCTGTAGGGTGTCTAGAGCTAGCATTGGTGTATGATGGAAGCAGGTGTCTGCTGTATAGTGTCTAGAGCTAGCATGGGTGTATGATGGAACCAGGTGTCTGCTGTAGGGTGTCTAGAGCTAACATTGGTGTATGATGATACCATGTGTCTGCTGTATAGTGTCTAGAGCTAGCATGGGTGTATGATGGAACCAGGTGTCTGCTGTAGGGTGTCTAGAGCTAGCATGGGTGTATGATGGAACCAGGTGTCTGCTCTAGGGTTATAAAAATAGCATGGGTGGATGATGGAACCATGTGTCTGCTGTAGGGTGTCTAGAGCTAACATGGGTGTATGATGAAACCAGGTGTCTGCTGTAGGGTGTCTAGAACTAACATGGGTGTATGATGGTACCAGGTGTCTGCTGTAGGGTGTCTAGAGCTAGCATGGGTGTATGAAGGAACCAGATGTCTGCTGTAGGGTGTCTAGAGCTAGCATGCGTGTATGATGGAACCAGGTGTCTGCTGAAGGGTGTCTAGAGCTAGCATGGGTGTACGATGGTACCAGGTGTCTGCTGTAGGGTGTCTAGAGCTAGCATGGGTGTATGATGGTACCAGATGTCTGCTGTAGGGTGTCTAGAGCTAGCATGGGTGTATGATGGAACCAAGTGTCTGCTGTAGGTTGTCTAGAACTAACATGGGTGTATGGTGGTACCATGTGTCTGCTGTAGGGTGTCTAGAGCTAACATTGGTGTATGATGGTACCAGGTGTCTGCTGTAGGGTGTCTAGAGCTAGCATGGGTGTATGATGGTACCAGATGTCTGCTGTAGGGTGTCTAGAGCTAGCATGGGTGTATGATGGTACCAAGTGTCTGCTGTAGGGTGTCTAGAGCTAGCATGGGTGTATGATGGTACCAGATGTCTGCTGTAGGGTGTCTAGAGCTAACATGGGTGTATGATGGTACCAGATGTCTGCTGTAGGGTGTCTAGAGCTAGCATGGGTGTATGATGGTACCAGATGTCTGCTGTAGGGTGTCTAGAGCTAGCATGGGTGTATGATGGTACCAGATGTCTGCTGTAGGGTGTCTAGAGCTAACATGGGTGTATGATGGTACCAGATGTCTGCTGTAGGGTGTCTAGAGCTAGCATGGGTGTATGATGAAACCAGGTGTCTGCTGTAGGGTGTCTAGAACTATCATGGGTGTATGATGGTACCAGGTGTCTGCTGTAGGGCGTCTAGAGCTAGCATGGGTGTATGATGGTACCAGGTGTCTGCTGTAGGGTGTCTAGAGCTAGCATGGATGTATGATGGAACCAGGTGTCTGCTGTAGGGTGTCTAGAGCTAGCATGGGTGTATGATGGTACCATGTGTCTGCTGTAGGGTGTCTAGAGCTAGCATTGGTGTATGATGGAACCAGGTGTCTGCTTTAGGGTGTCTAGAGATAGCATGGGTGTATGATGGTACCATGTGTCTGCTGTAGGCTGTCTAGAGCTAGCATGGGTGTATGATGGAACCATGTGTCTGCTGTAGGGTGTCTAGAGATAGCATGGGTGTATGATGGAACCAGGTGTCTGCTGTAGGGTGTCTAGAGATAGCATGGGTGTATGATGGAACCAAGTGTCTGCTGTAGGGTGTCTAGAGCTAACATTGGTGTTTGATGGTACCAGGTGTCTGCTGTAGGGTGTCTAGAGCTAGCATGGGTGTATGATGGAATCAGGTGTCAGCTGTAGGGTGTCTAGAGCTAGCATGGGTGTATGATGGAACCATGTGTCTGCTGTAGGGTTTCTAGAGCTAGCATTGGTTTATGATGGTACCAAGTGTCTGCTGTAGGGTTCTAGAGCTAGCATTGGTTTATGATGGTACCAAGTGTCTGCTGATGGGTTCTAGAGGTAGCATGGGTGTATGAATGGTTAGGTTAACTCCAGATCTATAGGACGGGTCAGCCCGGGTAAGTTGCATCGATCCATGATTGAACCGAGAGCCTAAGGCTAGATGACTACCCCACGAGATGAATTACGTATGTCGACAGTAGACTTGCCGTGACACATTGACCCATACCTGACTTGGTGACAACTGGTAAAGCACTCTCACCTAATGTCATAGCCTGCACACATCTAACAAATATACCAACCGCTCAATTTGACACCTTTCATAGATAATGGACTTGTGGAGTTGAGATATTGACCGCGGACCGTGTACAGGTTCTCGTCTACCAAGCGATTACATTTCTCAACATAACATTGTTTCATTGATTGGTGAAGTTTATTAACCTTTTATGGAAACAATTCACCCACTCTGTATGAGGGAAGGATGTCAAGGCCTATTCTTCGGAAGTCTGCTTGGTAGCTGCAGGAACTGAAATGGGTCCACGTCTGTGTGCCATGTCCATTCGAACCGGGTGCCCGAACATACCTCCTAATTCATTGCCGATCTCCGTTATCGAGTCATCTGATCGATCAGCTGCAATAAGTCACTCTGGAAAGCTTACGTGTAGATAGAAGTCAAATACCGCGTCGTTGGGGCTTAATGCACATTTGAGTGGTTCCATAGTGTGTCACACAAGTGTACGGGATTCCGCCAGTCTGTGTGTGATGGCGGTGTATGTTTCACAGACCTCCATCTGTGGAAAGGTAGTAGGTTGCCGTCACGGGGAACGTCATCCACGTGGACATCTACAAGAGAGTGTTTTAAATTCTTCATAGTGGTACATAGATACATGGCCGAATACAGATTCATATATACACCAACATATTAAGAGGGCACCTACGTAACACAGGAATGAACACCTACATCACACAGGGATGAACACATGTCAAGTGAACACCTACATCACACAGGGATGAACTCTTGTCAAGTGAACACCTACATCACACAGGGATGAACACCTGTCACGTGAACACCTACATCACACAGGGATGAACACCTGTCTAGTGAACACCTACATCACAGAGCAATGAACACCTGTCAAGTGAACACCTACATCACACAGGGATGAACACCTGTCACGTGAACACCTACATCATACAGGGATGAACGCCTGTCAAGTGAACACCTACATCACACAAGGATGAACCCCTGTCAAGTGAACACGTACATCACACAAGGATGAACACCTGTCAAGTGAACACCTACATCACTAGGGGATGAACACCTGTCAAGTGAACATCTACCTCAGGGATGAACACCTGTCACGTGAACACCTACATCACACAGGGATGAACACCTGTCACGTGAACACCTACATCACACAGGGATGATCATCTGTCAAGTGAACACCTACATCACACAGGGATGAACACCTGTCAAGTGAACACCTACATCATACAGGGATGAACGCCTGTCACGTGAACACCTACATCACACAGTGATGAACACCTCTCAAGTGAACACCTACATCACACAGGGATGAACTCTTGTCACGTGAACACCTACATCACACAGGGATGAACACCTGTCTAGTGAACACCTACATCACAGAGCAATGAACACCTGTCAAGTGAACACCTACATCACACAGGGATGAATACCTGTCACGTGAACACCTACATCATACAGGGATGAACGCCTGTCAAGTGAACACCTACATCACACAAGGATGAACACCTGTCAAGTGAACACGAACATCACACAAGGATGAACACCTGTCAAGTGAACACCTACATCACTAGGGGATGAACACTTGTCAAGTGAACACCTACATCACACAGGGATGAACACTTGTCACGTGAACACCTACATCACACAGGGATGAACACCTGTCAAGTGAACACCTACATCACACAGGGATGAACACCTGTCAAGGGAACACTTACATCACACAGGGTTGAACATCTGCCAAGTGAACACCTACATCACACAGGGATGAACACCTGTCAAGTGAACACCTACATCACACGGGAATGAACACTTTTCAAGTGAACACCTACATCACACAGGGATGAACACCTGTCATGTGAACACCGACATCACACAGGGATGAACATCTGCCAAGTGAACACCTACATCACACGGGGATGATCATCTGTCGAGTGACAATTAGAAACTGTTTTGCTGTTTTCTAAAATGAAAGGTTATCGACCTCCAGTGTGCGATTCCCCCTGTTTCGGTGGCACAACGTCAGCTCTCATACACACACAGACTATTGTACTGTTACTTTATCAAAGAACAAACAAATATATCTTGTTAATATTTTAATGCATCACTCTCCTTCTGCCATCAATTCACACACCGAAGCAGTCTGTTTAATGCCTTCTTCCTTTTCCTTTGGGTTTCTTGGGCTTTTTCCCCTTCGGCCTTCTGCTTTTCCTCTGTCTGCCCGTCTTTCCCCGCTTGCCTTTCCTACCCCGTCTTTCTTTCCTACCCCGTCTTTCTTTCCTTCCCCTCTTCTTGCCTTTTGCCTTCTTTACTGGCGTCTGTATTGTTGTGGTTGTTCCTACAGTTGTAGCTGTTGTAGTTGATGCTTCCGTCGTTGCTTCTGCTTCTGTTGTTGCTACTGCTTCCGTCGTTGCTTCTGCTTCTGTTGTTACTACTTCTTCTGTTGTTCCCGCTGCTTCTGTAGTTGCCTCTGCTTCCGTTGTTGCTTCTGCTTCTGTTGTTGCTACTTCTTCTGTTGTTGCTTCTGCTTCTGTTGTTGCTACTTCTTCTGTTGTTGCTTCTGCTTCTGTAGTTGCTGCTTCTTCTGCTGTGCTTCTGCTTCCGTTGTTGCTACTGCTTCTGTTGTTCCTTCTGCTTCTGTTGTTCCTTCTGCTTCCGTTGTTGCTACTGCTTCTGTCGCGTCTTCTGCTTCTGTTGTTGCTTCTGCTTCTGTCGTTCCTTCTGCTCCTGTTGTTGCTTCTGCTTCTGTCGTTCCTTCTGCTTCTGTTGCTGCCTCTGTTGTTGCTTCTGCTTCTGTCGTTCCTTCTGCTTCTGTTGTTGCCTCTGTTGTTGCTTCTGCTTCTGTCGTTCCTTCTGCTTCTGTTGTTGCTTCTGCTTCTGTCGTTCCTCCTGCTTCTGTTGTTGCTTCTGTTGTTGCTTCTGCTTCTGTCGTTCCTTCTGCTACTGTTTCTAAACCGGGCCAGACCTCACGGCTATCGTCACTACTTCTTCACCACTTCTCCACCACTTCTTCCTCCGCTCCTCTCACCGCTCCTCTCATCGCTCCTTTCGCCGCTTCTTCCACCACTTCTCCACCGCTTCTTCCACCGCTCCTCCCACCACTTCTCCCACCGCTTCTTCCACCGCTCCTCCACCGCTTCTTCCACCACTTCTTCCACCGCTCCTCTCATCGCTCCTCTCATCGCTCCTCTCGCCGCTCCTCTCACCACTGTCTCGTGATTCCCCAGATGACACTGACATCCTTTTCCCTGGAATTAATTCCTCCCTCGCATCCGCTTGGAGGGTCTCCTGCGTGACTTTTTCCCCTTCTTTCCCTTCGGCCTTCTGCTGGACCTCTTGTCTCTGGACTCCAAGACTGTATTGCTCCAGGGTCCATTCTTGGGAAGCCCCGGGAACAGATTGAAGTGTTCACCTTCTTTCTCCTCACTTGTCACGGCGTTATCAGCGTCATCATCGGTGTCAGCATACCCGGCTTCGGCTGACACAACTCCTGTCACTGCCGCCGTGGGCGTCGCGTCAGGTCCTGATGGAGTTATTGACGCCGAGAGGACGAGGCGGGGAACCACACAGCTCACTACAATAGAAAAGATAAGCTTGATTGAGAGGATGGGTGGATTTATCGGTGGGTAAGTGGTGCATCTATCGGGGTGTGTGTGTGTGTGTGTGTGTGTGTGTGTGTGGGGGGGGGGGGGGGGGGGGGGGTAGTGGGTGTGGTGGGTGGGGTGGGTGGGGGGTGGTGGTGGGGGGGGGGGGGGGTGGGGGGGGGGGGGGGGGGGGGGGGGGGTAGTGGGTAAGTGGGTGGATTTATCGTGGGTAAGTGGGTGCATCTA